TGGAGCGGGTTCGGATTTGATTCCTTTTCTTTAGGTTATTCATTTAATATAATTATAAATGCAAGTTTTTGAACAGCTTTCGGTAACCTGTATGGAATATTTTATTTAGTAGCTTTGAAATGAACATGAGCTGCTCAGTGGAGCAGTGGGTAACACGGCTGCCTTGCAGCAAGAAGGTTAGATTGGGTTCGATTCCCAGCCCGGGGTCTTTCTGCATGTAGTTTGCATGTTCTCCCTGAGCATACGTGGGTTCTCTCCGGGTACTCCAGCTTCCTCCCACAGTCCAAAAACATGTCTGTTACCATAGGTTAATTGGCTTATCTAAATTCTCCTTAGGTGTGAGTGTGTGTGAATGGTTGTTTGTCTCTGTGTTGCCCTGCGATGGACTAGCGACCTGTCGAGGATGGACCCGCCTCTCACCCACAGACAACTGGAGATAAGGACCAGCACCCCTTGCGAGTGTGAAATTGTGACGCAAGTGTGACTGAAAATGGATGGATGGATGAAATTAACACTGTAATCCAGTTGAGACCCGAGGTGTCAAAAGTATAATTGTATAAACATAACTCAAGCAGAAGTATTAGTCGTACTGTTTAAAAACATTTTTGCTAGAGAATCAACTTAAGCTGTCTACTCAAGTAAGTTTGTGTGAAAATAAAATTTGTTGTACCATTTTTAAAAATACTTAAAGCATTAAAGTAAAAGTAATGCGAGGAAAATGTTAAGGACAAATCGTTTAAACGTTATACTGGTTACTTTACTAGCCTATTAAAGGCACATTTTTCCTACAATTCTGGAAGATAACATCATTAGACTTAATTTTCTTAGTTTTATAACTAATGGTGACAGAGTCAAATTTAAGTTTGCATCATCTTGAAAAAACATTTTTATTTTGGTATGTGGTGAACAACAAGTGGGGGCAGCACCCAGTCCAACCACAAAGAACTTAATGGTCAAATTATTTTGATGTTTTTATTTTTATTTTTTTCAGTACCAACGTGCCATAAAAAAAAGGGTTTTAAGGGAACAAAACTAACATGTCCGTTTTTAAAATTTAAGGAATAGAGTCGAGATAATTGCAAAAATAAATGTAAAAAGAAGAAGTAAAAAGCTGTCTAAAATATAATGAAAGTATAGATACACTGGAAAAATGATCTAGAAATAAGTTTAAAATTTGCTAAATTAAGTTACCCTTGATTTGAGTTGGTGAATTACATAGTTTGCCAATGGAATTAGTATTTTTTATTTTAAAATACAATAATTAGATAATATGCACTTGAAATAAGACGATGCACTTGTGTTTTCTTATTTTAAGTGGAAGTTGTTGTTCCATTGGCTATTTTCCCTCCTCAATCCAAGATCAAATGCACTTATTTTAAGAAAAAATGACTTACGGTACCTAGAGTCCGATTTTTTCCAGTGTAGCCAGAATTTCTTCTTAAGATAACAAAGTATTTCAACTTTGTACAATACACACTGCAAAAACAATCCAGAAATAAGTAAAAAATGGCTTAAATTAAGTATATTTAGCCTTAATTTGAGCAGGTAAATAAGATGATTTGCCAATGGAATGAGTATTTTCACTCTTAAAATAAGATAGTTAGATAATATTTACTTGAAATAAGACGATAAAATATTTTTTTCTTATTTTAAAAGGAAATTGTCTTGTTCCATTGGCAAAGTGTCTTACTTATCTCCTCAAATCAAGGAAAAACACACTTATTTTAAGAAAAAATAACTTATTGAGATTTATATTTTTTGCAGTGCAGCGCTGTTTGAAACTAATGGGTTCAGTTTTGCTCGTTGATTACAATCAGATGACGTTAATTAGTGAATAAACCTGACATGCTTTTATGCCCTTTGATTATTTCTGTTCAGGTGTGGCGTTTCACTACCGAGCCAGCTCCAGCCGCTACTCTTTGGACTTTACTGAAGCACAGGAGGCGTGTCGCTCTGTAAACGCCTCCATCGCCACACCTGCACAGCTGACTGCCGCCTACCAGGATGGCTTGGATCAGTGTGATGCAGGGTGGCTCGCTGACCAGTCTGTCAGGTAGAAAACCCTACATTTCCACCAGTTTTCTACTGTTAGAAAATTGAAAACTTTAATTTTTTTGATATTACTGAACATCTCTGCTGCTGTCTAAAATTTGTGAAGAGGCTAAGAAAGGGTTTCATCTTTTACTGTAATTACAGTGAGGTTTCTTAGTCCCTTTTTGATCTAAAAAAGGTGTGATTGATGTTCCTCAGGTATCCAATCACCAGGTCTCGTCCTGGCTGTGAGGGTAACCTTCTGCAGCGCCCAGGTGTACGAACTTATGGCCGCCGGGACCCCACAGAGAGATACGACGTGTACTGCTTCGTAGATAAACTGCAGGGTTTGTGGGAAAAAAACAGCATCTTTAATTTTTTTTTCATTTCAGAAATGTCCTTTTTTATTTTGTTTTTTTAATTATCCAGTAATTTTAATTTCTTCCTTTAAAAGTCTGACTTTCACAGAGTTTTAAAAGTTTTTATTTGTGCTTTTATTTCATCCATCTTTAATTCATTTGTTTAATATTTATTAATTTATTTTTTAATAGCGAAAGTATAAACAAACAGCTGCTTATGGATGTGTCCCTACAGATCAGCATCTTTTATTGGCTCCAACCCAACAGCGAATTCAATTTAAATATCAGTTGCTCAAATTTTTTTTAAGTTAGCACTTTTTCTCTTGATTAGATGAAGCAATACAATATTCAGATGGAATAAGATGATGTTTTAAATAGGAAAGAAAAAAATTCCATTTTCTTATTTCAAAAGCATAACTAATTATCTTACGTAAATTGCAGAAATACTCATTCCTTTGCACATCGTCTAGTTTTGAATCACTTTTTTCAAACATTTTGGACCAGGTTTTGCAGTTTGCTCAGGCAGCTCACCACATTACTTAATAAAAATATTGCCCTTCTTTCATTCCATCTATTTGTCTTTTTGCCCCCATAAAAAAAGATGGACTGTATCAACAATACTGTGATTTTTTTTGCTTGAATTTTTCCCCAAAATATCCTTTATCCTCATCCTGTCCAAACTTGCCTCTCAAGCATGGTACTCTCCAGAGTAGGTTATGTCTGGATTTTCATGAAGCCACTGTTTCCTCTTTTTGCAGGTGAAGTCTTCTATCCATCCTCCCTCACTGATAAGATCACCTGGCAGGAGGCAAAGGAGGAGTGTGAAAGGCATGACGCCGTGCTAGCGTCCCCTGGTCAGCTGCACGCTGCCTGGATGGCGGGACTAAACCGCTGTGACTATGGCTGGTTGTCTGATGGCAGTGTTCGATACCCCGTCACTGTGCCCAAGGTTCAGTGTGGGGGAGGCATGCTGGGGGTCCGGACGTTCTACAAGTACAATAATCAAACTGGCTTCCCAGACCCGACTGAAAAACACGGAGCGTTCTGCTTTAAAGGTTAAAACTGAACCAACTTCATACTTTCTGGAAACAGAATTTTCCTGTAGAAAGAGCAGCAGGTTCATTCTTATCAGAGTCTGTTAGCATCCCAACTCCTGCATTGACAGTAAAACTCGTTCTAATCAGTCAGGATTAGAGGACATCTTATGTCTACAGCCATTTCCAGCAGGCCTGACTATATTTCTATTAGCTTTAATTCATTCCTACCGGATGGTTTTGGATTGAAGTTGACTCATATTTAGAGCGATAACTTTGTCCAACTTGGCAAAAACCTCATTTTAATTACAGAAAAATAACCCTGTTGTCTGATGGAGCCACTGGTATATTTCTCATGGAGAATAAAGGAGATCTTTGGCACATTTAGGACATAAATACACCATGTTTGAGATTCCTATAGCTTCTCAAACTGTGAGATCAGTTTCTTCAATTAAGGTAATTTTAATTCAGTTTATTTACAACAGCGCCAATCCACATAACATCATTTTAAGGCTGTTTAAAGAGAATTTAATCAGATCATAGAGTGAGATTCAGAGTTTTCTATATAAGGAAACTCAGCTGATTGTTTTAAAGGAAAAGTCCAGTCAACAAGGAATAATCAATGGATCATTATTTATACCTAAAACTAAAACGTTTGCGGTGATTTAATGAATTTAACATTAAACTGTAAAAAAAAAAAAAAAAAAAGCCCCCGATAATTTTCGTCGCAATCACCGAGTCTGGGAGCGGCCATTTTTGCCCAAATCTAGTAACCCCTCCCTCCTGCGATCTTCCAGCAGTGACGTCACGGTGCGGTAAGCCTAGCGCCATTCTCCCCGCTTTACAAGCTAAATCAATGGGAACTACTAGACACATCTGCAATCAACAACAATTATTGAAGATTTCCAGAGGACTTCACCATTGAAATTCACCAGAGCTATAGTGAAACTGACAATGCCCACGTGCATGGCAGCTGGATGCTGGAATACATCGGGTAAAAGTGAAAAAAAAAGAGTTATTCCACCTTTCTGATTCCTGATCCTCCACGGACGGGTTGGTCGTTGGATCGCCAACTTGAAGAGGGACGATTTGCCATCGAACTTCTGGCCAGAGAGAAAACACCAACGTTTGGAAGAAGAATGTTTACAAGATGACTTGGATAATAGCGCGTTGTGACAAACACCAGATACAGCACTGGGACTTGATCAACAGCCGATACCGCACTGTGACGTCACAAACCAGTAGGTGGCAGTAGTGTTCTTTGACAAACATGGATGCCTCCAGTAAAGCACATTCACATGAAAATTACTCTGAATTAAAAACACTGATCATTTATTGAACAGGATGGAATCATTTCAGATTTAAAGAACTTTCAGAAGTTTAAATTCTAAATATGACTGGACTTCTACTTAGAGATATTGACTTTGAATTATACACTACATTTGGATGAATATGTGGCGAGCATGCATCTGACCATGCATGCAGCGACAGTGGAGAAGAAAAAGTCCCTTTTAACAAAAGACATTTCTAGCAGAACCAGTCTCAGTAGGAGCCACTTTCTGCTCAGGCTGACTAGGGATTTAAGGAGATACAAGCAGACATGGAAGCCCTGATCCAGAAATACTCTCTGTCCAAAAAAAAGTTCATGGTAAACTAGCTCCTGTCTCAGAAACAAACTGTTAACCTGGGATTAAAGAGAGCATGTCCATTCAGTTACAGTAAGAGCTGAGTCCATTATCAGTTATCAGTGAAAAACAGGTTCAACTCTATCATCTGTAATCTAAGGTGTTGATGGCAGCAGCAGAGCTGATATTTCCCTCCAGGATGGAGTCACAGCCAAACAGGAACAGACCAGATGAAGCTACTATGAGAAAAAGCTGATAACAAGGCTAGGCTGACATTAGATCAGGTGATCATTTTGTGCAAAATAACAGTAAAAATGAAGGTGCTGTTATAAAGTTATCTAATCAATCTGTAAACCTATCTAACCTTACAAACGGAAATCTTTTAAAAGGCAACTTTTAGTCAGAACATACTGCGTAATGCTATTAAACTGGGATGTGTGTTTCAGCACAAACAAGCCCCCAAACGGCAGCACAGGTAACAGAGTGGGATGAAAACAAGCAAACAACCCATATTCAGACCCAAACAGGAGAAATATGAACTCCAGTGCTGTTTATGGAGGGTGGCTTTTATGAGGGGAAAACCCGGCACATGGACTCCAGCACAGATACAAGACAAACAGGACAGCTCCCTAATGCTTCACAGCTGGACCCTGCCCAAACAGGACAGACAGACGGAGGAAGTGGAAGAGAGTCAATAAAATAACAAGGTGTTAATAAAGGGGTCAGCGTGTAGCACAAGGAAGTGCACACTCCAGGCATGATGCTTTTCTACACCATACACATTGACATGTCTGGCTGTAGGCCGAAGGCAGGGTGATGGTACTGCCAAGCTCTAAGAGAGGTGGCAGACCTGCAGGAGCGAGTTAACTCAGAGCAAAAAGAAAGCTCTCAGTTCGGCCAGATGTCTGCAGCTCGCCAAACAGATGACATCATATCTGGGCTGGGCTCGACTTACATCCAGAGCTGCTTTCTCAGTGCAAAATAGCAATCCCCAACACTGCAAAAACCCAAAGGACACCTTAGTTCTGTGCACATGTAGGAAGAAGCAGTAAAACTTTTTCCAGCAAAGTTTTACTAAATGCATAATTTTTAACACAAAAAATATAACATAGGTGAAAAATGACTTTATCTATTTAATGAAAATTCATTTTTTAGGGGACTGGTGCCTATCTTTAGCAGTTTTTAGGGGAAAACCAGTCCATTGCAGGATAACACGTAGACATACAAACACGCAGACACTCTATGGGCGATTTACGGTCAACGGTTAACCTAACAGCCGTGCTTTTGGACCGTGGGAGGAAGTCAGAGTACCCAGAGAGAACCCTGCATGCACGGGAGAGCATGTAAAGTCCTTGCAGACAGACTCAAACTCAGAACCTTCTTGTTACAGAGAAACTGTGCAGCCCATATTTATTGAGCATGGATTGATTTTCATGCACACAGGCACAGGACTAGAATCTGCCTGTAGACTTTTGGAAGAATTTCCAATTGGCTGACTTTTCTTTGAACAATAGAGTGTGGGAGGGACAAAAACATCTCCTCACTAGAAAAACGATCTATAAATAAGTAAAAATGTCTTAAATTAAATGTATTAACCCTTAATTTGAGTAGGTAAATGAGATAGTTTGCCAATGTAATGAGTATTTTTACTCTTAGAATAAGATAATTAGATAAAATGCACTTAAAATAAGACAATGCAAATGTGTTTTCTTATTTTAAATGTAAATTATCTTGTTCCATTGGCAAAATGTGTCTTTTACCTCCTCAATCCAAGAACAAATACACTTATTTTCAGAAAAAATGACTTATTTAGACTTCGATTTTTTTCCAGTGTTCTTATTATTCACTGTCATCAAGAAAACAAAATGAAGTAGAAATTATTTTCCTTACCCTGACAGTTCACCACTGGTTAATGTGAACAAGTAGTACGATGATTGCAATAAAAATTTTGAACCTTGTTTTTTCTTCCACCCCATTTTATAGCTTTTCTCCCAGAAACAACAACCAGTTCCCAAACAACTCCAGCTGTGTCTGAACCCAACATCTCTGCATCCAGTGTGCACCATGCAACACCCGCAGTCCCTGAAATGTCTGAACTTGGACAGAAGGTTCTGGACAGAACCCCAGAACCTGCTGCAAATTCACCAACCAAGACCACCACAGCAGATCCCAGCGTTCTTGATTATACCGACTATGACTATGACCTTAAAGTTTTTGATCGTTTAGACTTGGTCGAGTCGCTTCCAGGTCGAGGGGATGTGTTGCCTGAACCTCATGTTCAGCCTTCAAAACTGGACACCCCTGAACTAGGTGAGCAAGGAGTGACTTCCAGTGGGGAGGCATCCAGAGTTGACCCCGGCTCCATCAGCAATGTCGGAGGAGAAGGAACTCCAGGACACATCCTGACAACAAGCCTGGCAGAAGACTTCACCACTAGAGCCTTTATCTCATCGCAGAAAGCCACTCAAAGTCCCTCACCTCTTCCGGAGATGGCCCCATCAACAAGGGGCCCCCTACCTTTCAGCACAGAAGTGAGTCCACTACCTGCGATTGTGTTCAAAGACGAGCTCAGCCCTGAACCAACCACAGAAATCGAGCTGAAACCAGACTCTGACCTTTCTGTAAGTGGAGACTCTGAAAAACCACCTCTTCATGTCCTCATCATCAACCTACCGAGTGGAAACGACTCCGGTGAGTCAAGACACCAGCAGAAACCTTCAGTTCATAAGCTACACTCAATTAAATGTTCATTGGGATATACCTCAATGATAAACACAGACTAGTATGTATTTTCTGAGGATGCATTTTTTAAAGAGTTTTTCAAAGATCAATGCAAAAACTGAGGCATAATAAGAAAATATTGACTCAGCCCCAGATGTCCTTACAGCTGCAGTTATGGCTGCTTGTTTTTTGAAGTGACGGTTAGTTTTGCCAGCCGCTTTGGATGTTATCATCCCATTAAATGGTCGTTATAAGCGATTTCCAGTCCCAAAGAAGGGCATCAGTTTGTGCCTCATACCTCCTACTAGGCTCAATAGGTTGTTATCACTGAATGAATCCTAACCTAAAGTAATTCCTTCTTTGCCCTGGAATTAATTAATTAATTAATTAATTAATTAATCTCTGTGTTATATTTAAAAAACACTTAGGAATGAATGAGGGTTCCTAACACAGGCATTATAGATGAGCCTTACTCTGCCACTGTTTGCAACATAAGCAAATCTGTAAAAAGAAAGAAAAAAACTGAGTGAATATAAAAAATTTGCTCAAATGATAAACATCTACAGTATATAAGGTACAGAAAACAGAGACTTTAGCAGCATTAATCTCTACTAAGCATAGATTATCTCTTTCAGTTTTACCAAGCCTCTGCTCATAATGTTTATTCCCACATGCATGCGTTGCAACATACTGTTCTGCATATTTTCTAAGGTCTGATGGTAAACTTTGGGGCACAAAGTTTGTTTTCTGAGGTTGCTGTCAGGAGCTATAGAGGAATATTCAACAAAACAATTTGATTGTGACTCTGGTGTTTCTCAGTGAAAAACAGAAAATAAGTGTTTATCTTTAAGGTTGTAGTATCAGATATGCCAAAAAAAACGTAGTGACTCAGCAAAGCCAGATGTGGAGGCTTTGAAAGCTGTCACATCTGTCTGGCCAGTGGTGAAGTTAAATGTAAGGTAAACATTTCAGTTTAAGTTTTTGCTCTGGTGTTTCCTGGAGCCTCAAAAAGACAGTTTGCTGCTATGGTTACATTACAAGGTTTGGACAGTTTATCCCTTATAAGAACAAGGTCTAAATTTAGCATAGCTGGTTGTAAATCCATTGATTGACTTTAAAGTTTACCACCTAAACATTTCTAAGTTTTTAGCTTCGGCTTCAAGTGGTAACTGTCAAAAATAAAGCTGGGGGATATATACGGTACGCATGTAGGTCAGAACACCATTCGTATAGGAGAATGGATTAGATCTTTGTCTAACATCTGGTTTAAACTGTGTTTCATAAATGGCACAATTCCCAAACAATGCTGCTTCATTCACATATTTCAATGATTTTGTCATAAAAAAAGGAGGTGGTCTGATAGACTGTGCTTGTAATGGCTGAAATCTTAAGCCCTCTGCAGAAAAAAATGAATTTTACCAGATTTATTTTTTTTTTTGTCCTTTAACCTGTAGAAACCACAGAACCCAATTTCTTAGATATTTTCTCTAAATTTAAAACTAGTTCAGTAATTAAGCTTGTACAAAGTTTACACAAAAGTTGTTCAGAACATAGTGTTCCTCTTTCATAAAGCCGGGATGTTATCGGGATCATAAAAGAAGAGAAAATCTGCAATGTGTTCAATAATATATCTTAAAGTGTTATCTTGAATATATGAATCTGACATAGAGCAACTTTGAAAGTGTTACAGAATACAGCTGCTGCTTCTCAGCTCGTTGTTGCTGGATCTTCTTAACACAAAACATGGAAAGAAAAAACAAACTCTGGCTGCTGAAAAGCACTTGAGTCTACAGTCCTTGAGGCCCATCGATAATCATCAAGTTTAAAGTGAAGAGAGCTGCATTGGCCTTATTCACCAATATTGTTTGACACAAACAGCAAAAAAAGCATATTTTCCAGAAAACAAACTTCAGTCACTCAGTGCTCACCATGAGGCCAACTGCTGCATCCATTCTGCCACCAACGATAATGCTACAAATCTGTTTCTTATTAATGGAGAAAGCTCTGCATCTAACACCAAGATGAGCTCTGTTCACTTCAACTGTGGGATATAAAACATAACATTATTTACTCCAAAGCCCCACAAGCATCATAGGCTTCAGTTGTTTCTTTTTTAATCAAATCTGCAGAAGAATGGCTGAAATTTTAGGGAGTTGCATCAAACAAGATAAACTAATCTCTTCTTCTCTCTTTCCTGCAGGGATTGATCCAAAAGACCAGTCTAAAGCAGGTAAGATAGTGACTACTTATTGCAATTCTACTTAGACCTTTTAAGAAACTATTTTCTTTTAACACAGACTGAATAATTTATTTAATCTTTACTGATAGGCAAATATCTTAAGGTAAATATTGAAAGATGGGGTTTAAATATCAGATAAACAAGAAATTGAGAGCATGGTCCCACAACGCATGAATACTTTGTATTACTGCACACAGTTACGACTGCATGGAAGAGCCGTCAGATCGCCATACCCTTCAAAAAACACCAAAAAGTAGTCATTAAATTGTTTTCTGTTGTTGTACATGACTAAAGTGAGACACGCCCGTCTAGGTATTTTATAGTGTATGTAGAGGAGGGTCTAGCTGCACCTGCAGCCACCTACAAAACGCGTCCAAAACACACCTTCCACCCAGCCAATCGTTGATGATATTTGCTGATGAAGATTCTCAGTCATCCAAATCATAGTCATTCTGTAAAAGTAAAAAAACAAAACAATCCACTGGACTTGGTTTCCAAGGTTTGAAGATGTTTTGTTTCCCCTCCAGGAAGCTTTTTCAATTCAAATGTCTGGATCCGCAGTGAGTTTGAGGCTTTATATAGACAAAGCCTTGTATCGCTTGGAAACATGCAAATGGAAACCGATGAGCGGGTCGTTTGGTTCCATCGTTAGCTTGTAATATCTGAAACCTGTCTATGATTCTGAAGGTCGGCCATTAAAGAGGGGGATTGTTCACCAGGTTGAAGAGAGGAGGTACTTTGTTCCCCTGTGATGAGGCGGGGGTTGTGGTGATACCTGGAAAGGATCATCTCTATAACTGAAATGTAAGCTTTTGGAAGCTGGAATTGTTGGACCATGTGTCTGTGGAGACCTTGTTTGATTTGCTCTGATCTTTATATTGGAGAAACCAAACAACCTCTGCACAGATGCATGGCCCAACACAGATGAGCGCCCTCCTCTGGACAAGACTTACATCTACTCCTGATGGACAAAGGACATTCTTTTGAGGAGCAGAATGTTCACATTCTGGATAAAGAAAATAAGTGGCTTGAGATAAAGATCCTTCTTCTGAATCTTTCTGAAGCTCCCTTTACATAACTAAAATATAATGTATATAAATAAAATATCCTATATAAAGTATTGTTTTCTGGGTGCAGTATCTTATCAATCAATTTCTTTGGCAACATCTTCCCAAAATTGCAGCACTTCCAGAAGATATATGCATGACCACACAGTCTCCAGCTGGGCAGGTTTAATGACAACAATGCCTTTTTATTATTGTTGGAGTAATAAAAAAACTTACAAATTTTTTCCAACAGTAGATTTTACAAATCCTAGAAATAGTAAATAATAATAATAATAAATAATTGAATTTTATTGATCTCACATTAGAGAAATTCACTCTTTGCATTTTACCCATCCCCTTGGGGAGCAATGGGCTGCCATCGTGGGATGCCTGGGGGGCAGTGTGGGGTTAAGGGTTTTGCTCAGAGTGGGGGCTGTGGGGATCGAACCATGTATTGGCTTATAGTTAAAGTGAAACAGGTTATCTTGAGCTATCTCTATGGATATGCTGCTATAGGTTTAGACTGCTGGAACACATGGGGACCACTTTTCATAATTCTGCTTCATTCTCTCTACTCTCACATAATAACACTGTAATGACCTCAGAGACCCAAAGTGGCAGTCTGCAGGAGTGGGACTTGATCGCAGGATCCAAGCTCCATGCCCTAACCACCAGGCCACGAGATAGTACCTGTGATTTAAAAATAGCGTACCACATGTCATCACTTATGTCCTCCTCTAGTTCTTTTGCCCATTTGTCACTAATACACAGCATTAAGGTTTTCCTATTAACTATCAATCCTTTATACATTGTTGATATCACCACTGGTCATTCTTGAGCTTGTAGCCTTCCTTAGAATCAGAAATCCTAATGATTTTGCTTGTTTGGTATCTTTAGAAGCATTTGTCATCTTCATTAGAAGGATTTGTTTTAATGAAAAATATACTCTTGGCTTTCTTAGCACTCTACTACCAGAGAGTTTACTCTCATTTATTTGAATACAAGATCCTTTATGTTATGAGGCAATAATTCAAACACACATGTTTTTAGTAGAACAGATGCGGTTTCTTCAGTACGTCATTCAGGTTTACACAGCAAGCCAGGGAAAGGATATGTCATTACTCCTCTCACAAGTGATCGTTTAGGAAGAGAAAAGGTGTTAATGTCCACCCAGAGAGCAGATACAGCAAAGGAAATGTTTGTTTGCAGGTAAAGTGACACCTGAGAGTAGGAGAGCCTTGAAAGAGGCCATAAAATCTTTCCACAAGGCTGACAATGAAACTGAGTCAGGTGTTTTAAACACATATCAATCATTACCAATATTTGCTGGCCGCCAATGCTTCCACTGTATACTTTTATTAGTAACTCTTAGGTTGTTATTTTCCATCACATTATCACTTCCAACTTCATGACACTGACACTTGGCCATTTTAGCGTCTGGTTTAAATGCTCTGAGTGTCACTTTCCTGCACACAGCTGCTCCAACAGGAAACATGGAAGGGAAATGAAAATAATCAGCTCTTCCTATCAATAAAAAATCAGACATTGTTAGGAAGCTGAAGGGTGATAGATATACAACGGCCAACTGTTAACACTGGCTCTAAACTTAAAATATCTATGGTTAAAGGAAATGAAATCACACTATAAAGCTTTTTTTATTAAGGAAAGCTTTGCACCTTTTCACATCAGAAACCCAAACAGCCCAGCTCAGCAGAGATGCATTTCAAAGTGCTTTATGAACAAAAACAACTCTTGAAATATAAATTGTTCCAAAAACATTCAAAAGCAATCCAAAGGACTTTGTTTCCAAGTTTAAAGGCGTTTCACTTCCCATCCACGAAGTGTTTTCAGTTCAAAATGTCAGGAATAGCGTAGAGCTCAGGTTTTATCCAGCAGCCCAACAAAACCTTATTTTTGTTTAGAAAACATGCAAATTGAAACAGACGAATAGGTCCACCACTTGGAATGGGGGTCGTTTGGCTACTTTTGTTAGCCTGCCTCTGAAAGGGGACATAGACAGGTATGACTATGACCTGGATGACTGAGAATCTTTACCAGCTTCTTAAAATTTAAACTTTGATACAAAACATAAACACAATTTTGCTGTTTGTTTTAAATTATTTTACAAAATGGACAAAAAACAAATAATGCCAATAGATTCGGAGTGCCATCACTGGTCAACTGCAGGATAAAATCATCTGGTGAATCTATTAAACAGGCTGATTACCTTGTCTCAGTAATGTCTAAAGCATCAGTGCTTACTGGATAATTATAGTTTTACCACCATAGAGTTTGCTCAATGTTGGCAGAGGCAGGATTGTGACAGGAAAACAGACAAGTCGGGTCTATCCAAGCAAAACAAGGGTAATGGCAGAGTCTAATTCTGCTGGCCGTATAATGATGGACAGAAAGAGACCCATGCAAAGTTATTCTCTCTGCTCCAAATCCTTTGGGACATCTGGAAAAGGATTTGTCTAGAGAACAAAAGGTCTTCAGTGAATTCAGCTTTATGGAAAACACAACATATCCTGATACGATGCGTGGGACCATTCATTGTCCAGAAGAGTGGGTTTACTCAAAACTCAGCCCAGGAACACTGCGTGGAACAGAAACAGGACTCAGATTTTGTCCCACAGTTCTTAGCTGATGGAGCTCAACAGGGGATAATTAATGAAGCGGCACAAAGGTCAGAGATTTTCTCAGATCTTAGCTAGCAAATAAATTGGAAATAAACATACTGATGATCCGTCCGTTTGCACATTCTTCGTCCGTCCGTCTATCTGTTCGTTCATCCATCCAGCAGTCTATGGGTAAGAGGCGGGGTAAACCCTGGAGTGGTTGCCAGTCCATGATAGGGCAAGACAAAGACATTCAACCATGCACCCAAAACACCCACCCACTGGGATATGTGGTTTAGCTGGTCTTGTTCACCAAACAGGCCTGAAGGTGGTTTAGCTGGACGACGCTTTCCCAAATACGTAGGTGACTTGAAACACTGCAAAAAATGTGAAAGAAATTTAGCTCGCCATAGCTTTTAGATAGGAGCTACACAACATTTTTTACAGCAACATGGTAGCTGATACAGATATTTAAAAAATGTGGTTAATGAGAACAAAAAGCACCAGTGGACTTTAAAGGGACAACTACATCTTATTTTTTGTCATATCCTTTTTTTTACTATTTTGCTTTTATGATAATAATACAATTACAGAAAAATGATTTTCAAAGAACAAAAGCACACAAATACACATCAGCAGCAACACAAGGCAAGGCAAGGCAAGGCAAGGCAGGGCAGATTTATTTGTATATCACAGTTCAGTGCAAAGACAATGCAAAGTGCTTTACATGATTTACATGATTCATTTTATATGAAAAATATGACTAAATACCTCATCCTGCGTCGTTACTTTTCATTACAAAACCATAAATACTTTAAAAAAAACGTAAAAGTATTCAAAAATGTAACTTGTCAAAAGAAACAGTAATCCTTTGGGGCAGACACACCCCCACACACATTTTGGAGAAGCCAGCTAACCTAATAGTCACGTTTTTGGACTGTGGAGTACCCAGAGAGAACCCATGCATGCACAGGGAGAACATGGAAAATGGAGAAAGACCCCAGGCCGGTGAATAGAACCCAGAACCTTCTTGTTTCAAGGCAACAGTGCTACCACCATGGAGCCCACATACTGATCCTACACATTTTAAAGGGACACTTTATTTATCTATTCTGAGTAAAATGAAAATGAGCTCCCAGTAAGAATAGTCCACAAATCAAACTAATTATAGTTTCAACATCAGAGTCAGCCTCCTCTTCCTCATCTTACCACATCATTTTGGAAAACCTAACTCTCATTGAACTCATTGAAGATAAAGTATTACCAGGAAGTGGTTTCTGGTCTTTTCTTTAAGTTTCTTTTTTTTTCTGTTAGATGTCAGTTTAAA